GTTAGCAAACCAGAAGCAAATGCCTTAGGCATACACCACCAGAGCTCCTGAATTATCCCTCAGGACTATCCATTTCTTTGATCCAATCTACACAGACTCTAACTCTCATGGTCTACATAGGCCCTTGATTTATAAAAGGGAGGTTATTTTTCTCAAAAATATATATTCTCTACTGGAAATCCTGGCCCAGAAAAGAAAAATATCCTTTCTACCCTACAACATTCAGCAATCTTTGCTCAGTCACCATATACCACTGGTATGACATTTATAACCTGTACATAGACCAAGTGGCAGTTGTTTAAACACAAGAGAATACCGCATGATTTAAAATCAGGAAAGGTTTGTGTCAGGGTTGTGTCCTTTCACCATACTTATTCAATCTGTATGCTAAGCAAATAATCCAAGAAGTTAGACTATATGAAGAAGAATGCAGCATCAGGACTGGAGGACTTATTAACAACCTGTGGTAAGATGATGACACAACCTTGCTTACTGTAAGCAAAAAGGACTTGAAGTACTTACTCATGAAAATCAATGACTATAGCCTTCAATGTGGATCATACCTCAACATCAAGAAAACGAAAATCCTCACAACTGGACTGATAAGCAAAATCATGGGAAAATTTTGAAGTTGTCAAGGTTTCCATTTTACTCGCATCAACAATCACTGTCCACAGAAAAAATCAAATGACATACTACATTGGGCAAATGCTGCAAAGACTTCATGTAAGTGTATATATATATATATATATATATATATATAAAAAGATGTCACTTTGAAGACTAAGATGTGCCTAACCCAAGCCACGATACTTTCCATAGCCTCATATGCATAAGAAAGCTGGACAGTGAACAAGGAAGACTGAAGAATTGATATATTTGACTTGTGGTGTTGGTGAAGATACTGAATACACCACGGACTGCCAAAAGCACAAACAAATCTGTCATGGAGGAAGTGCAGCCAGAATGCTCCTTCTGAGGATGAGACTTCATCTCATGTACTTTGGATTGGACATGTTTTGGGGAGGGACCAGTCCCTGGAGGACATCATGCTTGGTTAGGTAGAAGGTCAGTGAAAAGAGGAAAATACTCAAGGAGATGGGTTGACACAGTGGCTGCAACAATGGGCTCAAAGATGGCAACTATCGTGAGGACGGTGCAGGACTGGGCAATGTTTTGTTCTGTTGTACCCAGGATCGCTGTGAGTCAGAATCTACTCAACTGCACATAGTATGTGGTGTTCATGGCACACTGGGGTGGGGGGGGCAGGGAACTACTGCTGGTGAGTTGATTCTGACTCACAGTGACCCTAAAGGACAGAGTAGAATGGCCCCATAGGGTTTCCATGGCTATAAGCTTTATGGAAGCAGACTGCCACATCTTTCTCCCACAGGACAGCTGGTGGGTTTGAACATAAGACCTTTCAGATGGCAGCCGAGTGTTTTAACCACTGCATCACCAGGGTTCCTCATGGCAGATAATCTCTGTATATTACTGTGTTAAATCTTCTCTGTTTAGATCAGAAGACAACAACAAATACTGTGTACCTACTACATGCTACACTGATCTATCCACTGGGACTATATTATCAAACAAAAGACAAAATCCAAGTCTCTATGGAGTTACACTCTGAATCAAGAGAGATATAAATACAAGAAACGAGGAAATTATAGAGTATGTTAGAAGGTGGTAAGTGCTAGGAGGACATTAAGCAGAGCAGAAAATCATTCAGAATGTCTAGAGGAAGAGTTTCTAATTTTAAATAGACTACTTAGGGTAAGCATCACTGAAAAGACAAAATTTTACCAAAGACTTGAATCCAGACTCCTCAATTTGTATCCCAGTTCTACCACTTACTACATAGGTGGATTTGGCAAGTTATTTAAATGTCTGTGGCTCAATTTTCTCATCTGCAAAACAAAGATAATCCAAGTGAGTATCTGTAAAGTTCTTGGAACACAGGAAGCACTATGAATTCTGAAAGTTTTTGTTGCTGTTTTAAAATTAACTAATATATATGAAAGGAGGTAAGAAACCAGCCAGGCAGAGTTTGAAGGGGAGAATATTCCAAGTAGATGGAACACAAGCACAAAGGTCCTGGTATTCAAAGAGCAGCTAGAGGGTTTTTGAACAGAGACATGATAGACTCTTCTGACTTTTTAAATGGATCACTTAGAGCTGTATTGAAAACTGACTTTTAAGAACAGATTTGTGTATATAAAAATACATAGATATCGGGAGCTCTGGTAGCATAGTGGCTAAGGCATTTAACTACTAACTAGAAGGTTGGCAGTTCAAACCCACCAGCCACTCCTTGGAAGGAAGGTTGGGCAATCTACTTCTAGTGATACTGCCTCAGAAACCCAAGGAGGGGTCGCTATGAGTCGGATACGACCCTACGGCAGTGGGTTTATACACACACATAACAGGGAAGCTGGCCAAAAATCTATTTTAATAATCCAGGCAAGAGATAATGGCTTGAATCAGCATGGCAACCAAGGAGAGCCAGCAGATTTTGCTAATATATTAGATGTGGGAAGAGAGAAAGTAGGCAAGGATGACTCCACAGGTAACAGCAATAAAACTGGCTGATAATTACTCCTAACATATGAAGATTGGGCAATCTATTTCCTTAGTAATACTGCTTCGGAAACCCAAGAAGGTGTGGCTATGAGTTGGTCCGACTCAATGGCATACAACAACAACGATATGCCAAGTGGTCAATTAAACTCCTTAACATGTATGATCACATTTAAACCTCACTATACAGTGAGTCGGGGCCGACTCAACGGCACATAACAACAACAACAACATACAGTGGTTAGGGTTCGACGGCAAATAACAACAGCAAACACAGTGGTTAAGGCATTTGCCTGCTAACTAAAATGTCGGTGGTTCAAAACCCACCAGCCACTCCGTGGGACAAAAATGAGGCAATCTTAAAGATTTACAGCCTTGGAAACCCTATAGGATTGCTATGAGTAGGAATCAACTTGATGGCAGTGGGTTTGGGTTTTTTTTAACCACATGGTAAGGAGTCCTTTTGGTACAAAGGTTGAACACTCTGCTGCTAAAAGAAAGGTTGGTGGTTCAAACCCACTATGGAAGCTCCATGGAAGAAAAGACCAGGTGATCTGCTGCAGGAAAGATTCAGCCTAGGAAACCCTATGGGGCAGTTCTACTCTATCCTTCAGGGTTGCTGCCATGAGTCAGAATTGACTCACAGCACACAGCAATCCATGCAGTGGGTATCACCACTGTTTAACAAGTGTATAAACCTTCTTTATTGGCAGGCTGGATTCAAAAGTAAGCTTTCTTAAGAGCCTATGTACTTAACCAGTGTTCAACATTTCATGGTAGCTACAAGACCTAGCATTATGCTGAACATAATAAACAGTCCGTAAATGCTTGCTGAAATGATTAGCTTTTCTGAACACAGATAATGATTCAAGTGCGCGGAGTTCAGTGCAGAAGGGTCTGGTTTTCTCAGGTCTCTGCCAGCTCCTGCCTTGGTGACTGAGAACCAAATCTTCAGGTAATCACATATTTTCAACTCAGACTCAAAACATCCGAGTCTGAAGGGACTACAGAGTCTCTGTTTGAAATCTCAGTCGAGGTACAATCGGTAAAACGCATCCACAAAAGATGCCACTAATTTCATGTAGTGACTTGTAACACAAGTAACAGAAAACCCAGCTAGAGGCTCCACTCTGTCACTCTTTCCCACCACACACACCGCCTCCCCTTGACCTCTCACTGACTGGCGTTCCCTCCCCTCTCTCGGGTCCTGTGTTTCCTGCTCCCGTGCGGACCCGAACGCCAGCAGAACCAGCCCAATCCCTGCACTGCTGGCTTTCACCAGCGCTGCTTCCCCACCTCTCGGACCTTTGGCTGACCCAGGTCCCTCCCCCTCAGCTTCCTGCAGCAACTGGGAGGGGTGGGGAGAGGGGCCCTCCGTCACCCTTAACTCTGCCTTCAAAACCCCATCTGTCTAAAAGGAGCGCCTCCTCCAGGACCTCACCGCTCCATCCCTCGCACACTTCCCCTACAGACCTTGTTTGTAACTGCAGCGAGATACAGCAGAAAAGCAAGATCCGGAGGCAGAAATCCGGGTTCCAGTTTTCTGTCTGGTTACCTTTCGAGTCCGCGTCTGCCTTTGCAAAATAGTCATCACAACTATGCATTTACCTACGGCTGTTACACGGCTTAACTACAGAGAGCGTGTACAGGAAACGTTGGTCTGCATCCCTTTACATTACGAAACCGGGTCTTATGCACCGAGCTCTGATTACCGAACCCCCGTGGATCGGAAATGGAGGTCAGGGAACCTGAATTACAATCTTTCTATCCTTGCAGGCCCTCAAACGTTCACGATGCATACAGTAAGCAGTCACTTGGGAGCCCTGGTGGCGCAATGGTTAAGCGCTCGGCTGCTAACGGCAAAGTCGGGGTTCAGACCTACCAGGGGCTGGAGGAGAAAGTCCTGGCGATCTGTTCCCGCAAAGATCACAGCCTAGGAGACCGTGGGCCGGGGGCCCAGTTCTACTCTGTCCTATAGGGTCGCTGCGAGTCAGAGCACACAACAACAACGAGCAGTCAGTCAACTGTGCGGCTTCCAACTAACTGACGCGAACCTAGGGCGGGAGCCTGAGCGACTCGGGGGCACGAGGGAAGGGAGCAGCCCGAGCAACCGAGGCTCAGTCCCCAACCGCTTCAGCTCTGGCGGGCGTCGGTTTCCTCTTCCGTAAAAGGAGGTGGGAGCGAGCTGCAGAGCCCTCTTCAGCCAACTCGATCCCTAGGACTCGACTCACTCCTCGCGGGGCTCCGATCGTAAGCAGCCTTTTCTTTCACTTTTTCTCCACCACACTCTTTCCTCTTCCCCGCTCCCCAACTGTCATCCGACCCACGCCGCCGCCCATCACCCAGGCCCCTAGAGGCGCAGAGCCGCGGGCAGTCCACACCAGCCGTGCCCGAGGGGCCCACCCCCGGCCGGTACTCACGCCCGCGGCTGCCGCGGTGACCGCGGATTTCTCAGCAGCGCGGGCCGAGCGGAGCCGCCTTCGACCGATCTGCTCCAGGCTGAGGAACTCGTTGGACAGGTCCAGAGGGTCCTTGGCTGAGGCTGCCGGTTGGCTGTGCAGCTCCAAGCTGCTGCGGAGGACGACCATCTTCTCTGCCTCTTCTCTCGGCGGCCGAGACAGGAGATAGGAACGCACTCGAGCAGCAGCTGCTCCGGCTCTTCCGCGCTCCGAATTCTGGCGCCACAAGCTCCGCGCCAGCGGCCGCGGCGCGCCCTCTCGGAATCCCTCCGCCGCCTGGCCTGCCCACGCCGCCACCCTAACCTGAAATCGCAGAGTCGCCAGGGATATCTGCCCTTTTCTTTGCGAATGTAGAGAGAAGGAGGCTCAGCCGAAATTAAGGGATCATGCGTCAACTGTGTCGAGTACTTGAGCAGATAGTGAAGGGAGGTGGCTGACTTCTTTTCCTTATATAGTCCCGTCTCGCAGAACTCGGCGGAGGGAGACTGTGGGGGAGCTGTGAGAAGTCCGTTTGGAATTTTGGCGCGTGGACATCGGGGGAAGGGAGGTTTCTGCCCGCTCTGATTGGCTGGCACAGTTCTTGCGTCTCCTGCCCGCCCCTCCCAACACCTGCCTCCTCTTCCCGCCAACTAGAATTCAAATGCAAAATGCAGAGTCCTTAACTGGGGAGACTTGGCCCGTGACAGGATTTGACTTTGAGCCATAAGAGCTCTTTACTGATGGCTTAACAAAAACAAGTGAACTGCCAGAAAAATGAAAAAAAGGAAACGGGACCGAGCTAAAAGCTATCCCCAACCCTAAACCAAATCCACTGCGGTGGAGTTGATTCCGACTCATAACTACCCTATAGGAGGACAGGGTAGAACTACCCCATAGATTTTCCAAGGCTGTAAATCTCTACGGAAGCAGACTGCCACATCTTTCTCCCGTAGAGCTTTTGCTTAGCAGCTGAGCGCTTTAACCAGTGCTCCACCAAGGTTCCTAAAAGCTACCCAGCAAAGGGCAATTGCTAAGGACAGGCTTTGTACCTAGCTCTGCTTCATCCCACCTATCCAGTCTGGAGCATATTACTTCACCACTCTAGGACTTAATTTTCTCCTGTAGAAAAGAACTATAACAATAATATCTAAAGTTCTAAACTGATATTATCATAACACCTTAGAACTCTGCCTGTGCATAATAAACGATCAATAGATGTTATTACTATTGTGGTGTTGTTAGGTGCCATGGAGTTGATTTTTGACTCCCAGCGACCCAATGCGACAGAGTAGAAATGCCCCATAGGCTGTCCTAGGCTATACTCTTCACAGAAACGCATTGCCAGGTCTTTCTCCTGTGGAGCCACTGGCGGGTACAAACGTTAGCAGCTGAGCACTTGACCACTGCACCAGCAGGGGTCCTTTTGGTACCAGTGCAGAATGAAAATTGCTCCTCTCTCATTGCAGCAGCTGCTGACTGCTTTGAAATAGCTAAAATGCTGAATGATCACAATGTGAGAAGAGTCCTAGTGCAAAAGTAACACCAACTATTTATTGATTTGGATAACTGCATTTCACTAATTTAACATTTATCAAGTATTTACTGAGCATCTATTATGTACTGGCACTCTTCTGAGTGCCGGGGATGAATCAGGGAACAAAAAGACCAAAAATGACTTCATGGAACTTAAATTGTAAAGGAAGGAGAAAGGCCATAAACAAAATAAATGACCACTGAGTCAATTCTGACTCACAGACACCCCCATTGGGTTTCTGAGGCAGTAAATCTTTACGGAACGAGATTGCCCAGTCTTCCTTTCATGGAGTGGCTGGTGAGTTTGAATCACCAACCTTCTGGTTAGCAGTCAAATGCCTTAGGTACTATGCCACCAGAGCTCCTTGATACATTGATTTGCTGTCGTTGAATCAGAACTGACTCATAGTGAGGCCTCCTTGGGTTTCTGAGGCAGTCTCTCTATGGAAGTAGACTGCCCAATCTTCCTTTTGAGGAGTGGCTGGTGGGTTTGAACTGCCAGCCTTCTAGTTAGCAGTCCAATGCCTTAGGCTTAGAGAACAGAGAAAGAAAAATTGGCCACTGAAAACCTTAAAAATAGCAGCAGAACAGTCTGATACAGTGCTGGAAGATGAGTCTTTCAGGTTGGAAGGCACTCAAACTACGACTGGGAAGAATTGCTTCCTCAAAGTAGAGACGTCCTTAATGATGTGGATGGAGTAAAGTTTGGGGACCTTCATTTGCTGATGTGGTACAACTCAAAATGAGAAGAAACAGCTGCAAACATCCATTCATAATTGAAATGTAGAATGAATGGAGTATGAAAATTAGAAGTTCTAAAAAAATGAAATGGAAAGCATAAAGATTGATATCCTAGCCATCAGTGAGCTGAAATGGACTGGTATTGGCCATTTTGAATCAGACAAGCATATACTATGCCAGGAATGACAAATTGAAGTGGAATGAATATCACATTCATTGTCAAAAAGAACATTTCAAGATCTATCCTAAAGTACAATGCTGTCAGTGATAGGATAATATTCATAGGTCTGCAAGATTAAAGATGACAGTCTGTAGTATGGATTATACCTCAAGATAAAGAAGATGAAAATCCTCACAAGTGGGCCAATAAACAGCATCACGATAAATGGAGAGAAGATTGAAGTTGTTGAAGATTTCATATTACTTTGATCCATGTTGTTGTTGTTGTTGTTATTTGCCGTCGAGTCGGCCCCGACTCATAGCGACCCCTCCTTGGGTTTCCGAGGCAGTATCACTACGGAAGTAGGATTGCCCAACCTTCCTTCCGAGGAGTGGCTGGTGGGTTTGAACTGCCAGCCTTCTGGTTAGCAGTCAAGTGCCTTAGGCACTATGCTACCAGAGCTCCACTAGTCAACACCAATAGGAGCAGGAGTTGAGAAATCAGACATCATGTTGTACTGGGCAAATCTGCTGCAAAAGGCCTCTTTCAAGTGCTGAAGAGCAAGGATGTCACTTTGAAGACTAAGAAGCGCCTAACCCAAGCCATGGTATTTTCAATTGCCTCATATGCATGTGAGAGCTGGACAATGAATAAGAAAGACGGAAGAAGAGTCAATGCTTTTGAGTTGTGGTGTTGGCAAGGAATACTGAAAGTACCATAGACTGCCAGAAGAATGAACAAATGTGTCCTGGAAGAAGCGCAGCCAGAATGCTCCTTGGAAGCGAGAATGGCCAGACTCGAAGAGTCTGCTTTGGTCATGTTGTCAGAAGAGACCACTCCCTGGAGACGGATAGCATACTTGGTAAAGTGGAGGGTCAGCAAAAAAGGGGAAGACCCTCAACAAGATGGATTGACACAGTGGCTACAAAAATGGGCTCATGTATGGCAAGGACTGTGAGGCTGGCACAGGATTGAGCAGTGTTTCATTCTGTTGAACACACGTTCACTATGAGTTGGCGCCAACTCAATGGCACCTAACAACAAACAACAAGAAGGAACCAGGCATATCATTGCCGATGTCAGATGGATCTTGGCTGAAATCAAAGAATACCAGAAAGATGCTTACCTGTGTTTTATTGCAAAGGTATTATAAGACTGTGTAGATCATAAAAAGTTATGGATAACATTAAAAAGAATGGGAATTCCAGAACTATTTAATTATGCTCATGAGGAACCCGTACATAGACCAAGAGGCAGTCGTTCCAACAGAACAAGGGTTTAAAATCAGGAAAGGTCCATGTTGGGGTGGTATCCTTTCACCATACTTATGCAATCTGTATGCTGAGCAAATAATCCAAGAAGCTAGACTATAAGAAGAAGAGTGTAGCACCAGGATTGGAGGAAGACTCATTAACAACCTGAGATATGCAGGTAACACAACCTTGCTAGCTGAAAGTGAAGAGCACTTGAAATGCTTACTGATGAAGATCAAAGACTACAGCCTTCAGTGCAGATTACCCCTCAACATAAAGAAAACAAAAATCCTCACAACTGCACCAATATGCAACATGATAAATGGAGAAAACATTGGAATTGTCAAGAATTCCATTTTACTTGGGTCCACAATCAACACCAATGAAAGCAGCAGTCCAGAAATCAGATGTAGTATTGCACTGGGCAAATCTGCTGCAGAAGACTTCTTTAAAGTGTTAAAGAATAAAGATATACTTTGAAGACTAATGTGTGCTTGCTCTAAGCCATGGTATTTTCAGTACCCTTATATGCAGACGCACTTCTCTTAGAAGTGGGAATGGCCAGATTTTTCTCTGGCACTTTGGTTATGGGGTCAGAATGAAGCAGTCCCTGGAGAAGGATATCGTGATAGAGTAGAAGGTAAACAAAAAAGAGGAAGAGCCTGCATGAAATGGATTGACACAGTGGCTGCGATGATGGGCTTACGCATGGCAATGAATGTGAGGATGGTGTAGGACCTGGCAGTGTCCTGTAGGAACCTATGGGGTCGCTGTGAGTCAAAACCAACTTGAAGGCATCTAACAACAACAACATTCAATGACGTCGAGCAACGCTTTCATGTGTTTTTTTGGCCATCTGTTTATTCTCTCTGGTGTAATGTCTATTCAAGTCCTTTGCTAATTTTTTTTGGCCAGGCTGTTTGCCTTCTTGTTGCTTGGATTTGAAGATTTTCAGCCTATTTAAAGCAGTTTAGTGCTTCTATCACTGTGACTATCCTGGCTTTTAATCTCCTCTGCTGTTTTCTTTACTATTTGTAGCTTGAAGATTGCTTTCTTTGATAAGAGAAAATACAAGCAAAACAGGCATTGAGTATTTCTGCTTCATTTCCGTTGTCTAATCACATTATATCATATGGTCCCAAGCAATAGGATTATTTCTTGCTTTTTCTTCTCACTCTTAATATTGAATATTAAAAAAATAAACTCCCCAAAACTAAAAAATGAAGTTCCCTTTTGTTATTAAGCCTCAGCATATTGTGTGCTGTAGACTTCCCAAATCTCCCCTCACATGTGGGTGGCCCTCCTTCTACTTTACTTTTTGGAAGTGCTCCTCTTCCAAACTCCTGCCCTCTAACACCCTCATTTCCAGTCAGTTCTACTGGATTCTTTGAGGAACGCTTTCATCTCTTCCTCATCCAGATCCTTACTGCTTATACATCAGAATCTGGTTCTAAGAAACTCTTACTCCTCTGAACCTATTATATCCCTTTTATAGACTCTGATATAGAATTACACATTTTTTTTCTATGATTGAATTGTTTTCAATTTCAAAAGTGATTCCTGAGAGAAAATTTAGAAAATACAGAAAAGTGTAATAAAGAAAGCAAACAATGGCAGAGACTGTTGGCTGTCCCTCAGTATTCATTCTCTCCTTCTTCCTTGGGGAACTCTAGTGGTGTCATGCCTAAGGCATTTGACTGCTAACCAGAGGGCTGGCGGTTCAAACCTTCCTCAGAAGGAAGATTGGACAATCTACTTCTGTAAAGATACCATATTGGAAACTCATGGGGGGGTCGCTATGAGTCAGGTCCGACTCCAAGGCAGTGAGAAAGGCTTTTTCCAAAACAAATATTATCCAGACTGCCCAAAATGGTCTAGGTTTCCTAATCTCCCTTGCACCTGGGTGCAAGCATGTGACTATCTCTTGGTCAGTGGAATGTGAACAGAAGTGATGTGTGCATTTGTAGATTTTGTTCTTAAACCTTCTTCTACCCCCTTTTCCTCATTTTTTTTTTTTTTTTTTGCCAGAATGCAAACACAGCAGATATGGTGGCTAGCCATCTTGAACCATGTGGACCAGGGAAACACCCTAGGTATCCCAAACAAAATAGCAGACGCATGGGTAGCAGACACTGTAAAGTCACCACGTCAACTTTGGACTGTATATGCTTAGGCTGTTACATGAGAAATATATTTATATCTCACTTAAACCACTGCCTTTTCCACTTCTTTTTTACAACAGCCTCACTTGGGTCTTAACTTATAAACAACTCATTAATTCAACAAGGTGTTATGCCACTCACATGCATATACTCCATTCACAGACAAATAATGATAACAATAACTATAATAGGGTAGTGCCTAAGGCACTTGACTGCTAACCAGAAGGCTGGAGGTTCAAACCCACTAGCCACTCCTCGGAAGGAAGGTTGGGCAATCTACTTCCGTAGTGATATCACCTTGGAAACCCAAGGAGGGGTCGCTATGAGTCGTGTCCGACTCAATGGCATATAACAACAACAACAACATGAAGTTGTACACTACATCAGTTACCTATATAATTCCAGGCACTATACTAAGTACTTTGCACAAATTAGTTCATTTCATCCTCACTACAGCATCTGCTGGAGTTCCTGGGTGGTGCAAATGGTTAATGCACTCAGCTGCTAACCAAAAGTTGTGGGTTCAAGTCCACCCAGAGGTATCTGGAAACAAAGGCCTAGTGAGCTACTTTAAAAAAAGTCATCCATCCAAAATCCTACGAAGCACAGCTCTACACTGACACACATGGTGTTGCCATGAGCTGGAATCAACTCAACACCAGTTATTTTTTACAACACCCATTATGTAGGCATTCTATTACTATTACCCTCATTTTACCAAGAAACTGATACACAGAAGGGGTGGTGACTAGTCCAAGGTCATTTAGGATAGTAAGTAGCAGACACAGAATTTGAGATCACGTCATTCTATTTCAGGAGCCATGATTTACTCTGCCTCGCAAGAAAAGCCATGCCTGGAGGAGCTCCTGGCACTGGCAGAGACAGACAGGTTGAATTCCTTAGCATGATGCAGTCCCCCATTGAAGAGATGGGAATAAAAAGTTGTAACAAAGCAGGAAAGAAAGCTGTGGAAGGATGGAAGGCAACAAGGAACTCTCCCTGGGAAAGCTGCAAACAAGAAAGGGAAAAGATGTGAAACGGAGGGCATATGCATCTTGTACAAAGACCTGGAGGGTCAGGGATAGTTGGCCTTCCAATGACAAGAGTGTAAGGGACATTGGAGATAATGGAGTGAGAGTATATTGAAAACAATGGTCGCTAACATTTACTATCATGTGTCAGCAACTATTCTAAGTGCTTTGAGTCCTCATATCAACCTATCAGGTAGGTATGTTTATCTTAATTTTACAGATGAGGAAACTGAGGCATTAAGTAACTTCACCCCAAAATCATACAACTAGTAAGTGGTAGAACCAGAATGTGGACCTAGGCATTCTGGCTCCAAGGTCCATGCTCTTAAGGAGTACAATAGTCTGGGTCCAATCAGGAGACAGAAACCATATGGTAGGTTAAACAAGGGACAATTCATATAAAAATGATTAACTATGACACTAGACTAAGGAGAAGCATACGAAAACTCTATATGGTTCCTAGGGCTGAGGGAGACTACACAAAGGAGGACAAACTTGCAGAAGGTGTTGCAGAGTTCACCAGTTTAGCCAGTTGCTGGGCAAGCAGTAGTCAACAGTCTGGGTGAGGGCAGGGGAGCCCTCAGGATCCAGGGGTGTGAGTGTGCAGTGGGAATCCAGGCACCAGTCAGGGCAGAAGACCCTCAGACGGCCAGCCTACAGGCGCCAGGTGGGGAAGGCTCAGGTGGGGAACGCTCGCAGAAAGAACAACAGCTCAGTGTGTGACCTTGTGGACCAGAGGTGAGTGTGTACAGGCCATGAAGGGCTTGCTGAGCGATTCTGGTCAGGATGCTGCCTGCAGGCCTCTGCAGGGGTTCTGGTCTCTGTGTCAAGAGCTTTAGCCTGTTATTGCCAGGCTAAGGCTGCAAGGTCTCAAGGAACCATGTCCTGGGTCTGTGGTTGGGGCAGGTCAGCTCTGGATGTTCTCATGCTCATATTGCTGACATCTGGCCTCCACCAGGAATTGCAGAAAACCTCTTACTCCTCCCATGTCCCTCCAGCACCCTTTACTGAGAAAGCATAGTGTCATGCTTACTTTAAAAGAGAAATGCTTAAAGGAATTCCATTATTTATCATAGAGCGTATGGTAAAACCTGCAAAGGCTGGAGCCTGTGCAATGCCGAAACCTGTCAGAGAAGGAAATCACAAATATTTTCCGCTAACACAGAACAATAATAAAGTGGTAAGACTTTAAAAAAAAAAAAAGGCGGAAAACTTCTGAAACTGGGAAAAACAAGGCTGACGTTCCGGCTTTCACAGGTTTCACTGTATATTGAAGTGGGCATTGGGAACTGAGAGGCAGTAATTTACAATGGACACAAGAATTTATGCTCAAGGTCTTTTAAGACTTTCGGTGAGAATCTGACTCTAAATGGCCTATAGACCAAGCTGAGAATTTCAGTTTTCATACCAGGAAATTCTATAATCAGCTATATATATTCACTGCAAATACTGTATGAATAATTTAGAAGGCTATAAAACGTAAAGTGCAAGTCCTTGACAATGGGCATGCATTCAACCAGCAAGAAACACTGTTTCAACAATTCGGTGTCTTTCCTTCCAGGCTGTCAGCAAATAAATATGTCTAACACGAAAAGGATACCTTGCGAACTCCTTTTCTTTTTACTTAACATATCAAGGAAGTAATACATCTTTCCAAGTCAATATATGAAGATCTACTAATTTAAGAAAATCCAGTGGTTTGATTTGGGCTGATATCCTTCTTTAAAACTGTCCTCGATGCGGCAATATTTGGAAGGAACTTCCTCCTCTCTCTTTCATCTCTCCCAGGCACACTCAAGGTTCTCTTGTTTCATTTGCACACGTCAAAGTCTTCAGCGTCTCATCTGGTTCCTACGTCGCTGGCAATTCAGTCGCTGGCTGGGGAAAGGGTCTCAGACTCCTCTAGGAAACTTACGCCTAGGTTCCCACTTTACCAATTCCAAGGCCTCCCCAGCCGCCTGCTGGTGACCTCTCTCTCTCTCTCCCCCTCTCTGCCCAAACGTCCACGATTCCCGCAGTTACCCTGGCCCTGCCCCAGACTCCAATCCGCAATGACGAAAGCCGCCAGCCCTGCCCCTCTCGGGGTCGACACTCCGCAGCTCTCCACATACGCGGAAACGCACACAGTCAGCTTGGCCCCGGACTCCACCTACTGAGAAGCTCTCTTCGCTCCGGATTCGCCCACTTCGCCCCTGCCTCCACCCACAAGGAATATGTACCTTCTGTCTTCCGCCTTGAGCTCCGCCCACTGGCTCCACCACTCAGAAACTGCCCAGACCCACCCCGGACTCCACCTAACCCCTGCGCGCCAAGAACTTGAACCACTCTCTCCGCCTAAGCACCGCCCACTCTTCCTGGCCCCGCCCCGGACCCCGCCCACCCGGCTCCAAGGTCCGCCAACAAGGACTTGCTCCTCCCGCCGCACGCCAGCTCCTCCCCGGACTCCTCCCCCTCCGACCCGGAATCCTCTGGGTTGGTCCTGCGGGTCCACTAGAGGCCCAGGCCAGCCGCCATGGAAGGGGATGGCCCATCTGCCGCCGCCTCCGCCTCCAGGTACCAGCCAGCCAGCCCCCCGCGGGACGCCTGTGTCTACAGCAGCTGCTACTGGTGAGGGATGCGCGCACTGTTCCCGGAATCTCCTAGGCTAGCTCAGCCCTGACGTTGCAGCCGGGCCCACCTCTTCCTGGCCCCTCCCCGGAGCGCTCTTGGCCTCCACTGGCAGCTTCCCGTTTCGGGGAGGAGGAAGAGGGAATGGTAGTCCTCGCCGTTGGAGTAGAGCGTGGGCAGTTGGATGAGGGGAATGGTCAGGAATGGAGGAGTCAATGATGATGCATTACTTCTGGCTGGCGCTTGTCAGTTGGATTTCAGCAGATCCCAGTGGGTAGGGGGAGTTGGAGGAGGACGATGGCGCGCACAGACATTGGAAGTTGCTACGTTAAAGCCTGTAGGGTTTCCGATTGATGTGAAGGAGAGGCACAGAGTTTGAAGTAACTTGCCCAAGGTCACCCAGCTAATAACAGCCAAGAATACAGTGCAGGCCCTCTGGCACCAGAAGCCATGATCTTACCCACGGTGCTGTCATAACTGTAATCCTTTCACTTACACTGCACTTGCTACATGCTAAGCCTTGTTCTGGGTTGTTCATGTTAACTGACTCATTGGAACTTAACAGGTAGGTCATACACAGCTGCCATCGAGTTGACACCCACTTTTGACAACCTAAGCTGTGTCAGCATAGAATTGTGCTCCACAGGGCTTTCAGTGGCTGATTTTTTTGTAAGGAGATCATGGTACTGTTGTAAAATGAGGTACTGTTTAAAAAATGAGGACACTGAAGTACAGAAGGACACAAGTAGTTTGTCTAAGGCCACATTGTTGTTGGGTACTGTCAAGTCGGCTCCGACTCATTGGACCCCGTGTACAACAGAATGAAACGCTGCAGGGTCCTGTGTCAGCCTCACAATCCTTGCTATACCTGAGCTCATTGTTGCAGCCACTGTGTTGGTCCATCTCATTGAGGGTCTTCCCCTTTTTTGCTGACCCTCCACTTTATGAGCTTGATATCCTTCTCCAGGGAATGGTCCCTTTTGACAACATGACCAAAGTAGGCAAGGTGAAGTGTGGCCATTCTTGCTTTCAAGAAGCATTCTGGCTGCAGTTCTTCCAGGATAGATGTTCTGCTGGTAGTCCATGGTACTTTAAGTATTCTTCTCCAATGCCTCCGTAACTCAAAGCATCAACTCTTCTTTGGTCTTCCTTATTGTCTACCTTTCACATGCATATGAGGTGCTTGAAAGTACCATGGCTTGGGTTAGGCACACCTTAGTCTTCAAAGACACATCGTTGCTTTTCAGCACTTTAAAGGGGTCTTTTGTAGCAGATCTGCCCGGTGCAATACCTCATTTGATTCCTTGACTTTTGCTTCCATGGGTGTTGGTGGTGGAACCAAGTAATATGAAATCTTTGACAACTTCAGTCTTTTCTCCATTTATCATGATGCTGCTTATTGGTCCAGTTGTGAGGATTTTCGTTTTCTTTATCTTGAGGTGTAATGCATAGTGCAGACTATAGTCTTTAATCTTCATCAGTAAGTGTTTCAAGTCATCTTCACTTTCAGTAGGCAAGATGTGTCATCTGCGCATCACAGGTTGTTAATGAGTCTTCCTCCAGTCCTGATGCTGTGTTTTTCTTCTCATAGTCCAGCTTCTCAGATTATTTGCTCAGCATACAGATTGGACAAGTATGGTGAAAGGATACAATCCTGACATACTTTCTTCTTGATTTTAAACCATGAAGTATCCCCTTGTTCTGTTCGAACAACAGCCTCCTGGTCTCTGTACAGGTTCCTCATGAGCATAATTAAGCGTTCCGGAATTCTCATTCTTCTCAGTGTTATCCATAATTTGTTTTGATTCACACAATAAAATGTTTTTGTATAATCAATAAAACACAGGTAAACGTCTTTCTGGTATTCTTTGCTTTCAGCCAAGATCCATCTGACATCAGCAATGATATTCCTCATTCCATGTCTTCTTCTGAATCCAGCTTGCATTTCTGGAAGTTCCCTGTCAATATACCGCTGCAACTGTTTTTGAATTATCTTCAGGAAGATTTTACTCGCAGGTGATATTAATGATATTATTTGATAATTTCCACATTCTGTTGGATAACCTTTCTTTGGAATGAGTACAAATATGGATCTTTTCCAGTCAGTTGGCCAGGTAGCTGTCTTCCATATTTCTTGGCTTAGATGAGTAAGTGCCTCCAGCATAGCATCTGTTTGTTGAAACATCTCAGTAGGTATTCCATCAATTCCTGGAGCCTTGTTTTTCACCAATTCCTTCAGTGCAGCCTCGACTTCTTCCTTCAGCACCATTGGTTCTTGATCATATGCCACCTCCTGAAATGGATGAACATTGACCAATTCTTTTGGTACAGTGACTCTCTGTATTCCTTCCATCTTGATGTTTCTTGCATCATTCAATATTTTGCCCATTGAATGAATCTTTCAGTATTGCTGCTTGAGGCTTGAATTTTGCTTTGGTTACCTAGTACCACTCTGACAAAAATATACCACAAATGGGAAGGCTTTAACAAACAGGAGTTTATTCTTACGATTTGGAGGATTAAGTCCAAGTTTAAAGTGCCAGGCTCTAGGGGCTGAGTGAAAGCCCCTCGACCTTGGGCTTCAGCTCTGCCTCCTGCTCCCGGCCCACTGGAGCTAGAGGCGTTTCTTCATTCAGCTGCTGGCTGCTGAGACTGACAAGCCCAAGGTTGATAAGTAAAAAGACACAGCCCCGATGTTACCAAACCACATTGCAGGCCATTAATTCAAGTACATTGAAAGTCCCAAGGTCACCAGAGCATGGTAGGCTGCTGAACAACGACACAGCTACATGCAGGGTTCAAGTGTGCCATAAGCTTGAGACCATTCCCCAAGGTTTCTCCTTATATATGGGAAGCAGACCACATCCCTAAGGCAGCTACTCAGCTGCTCACAGTAGATTCCCCCATGGAGTCGATTACCAGTCTCATCATGGGGAATACTACATCCAGCTGCCCAGCCACTTAACCAGGCCCAGCCGAGTTGACACACAAACTTAACTACCACAAATGTTTTCTTCAGTTCTTTCTGCTTGAGAAATGCTGAGTGTGTTCCCTTTTGGATTTCTAATTCCAGGTCTTTGCACATTTCATTATAAGACTGTCTTCTCAAGCTGCTCTTTGAAATCTTCTGTTCAGCTCTTTTCTCTTGTCATTTCCTCCATTTGCTTTAGCTACTCTCCATTCAAGAGCAAGTTTCAGAGTCTCTTCTGGCATCCATTTTGGTCTTTTCTTCCTTGACTGTCTTTTTAATGGTCTTTTACTTTTTTCATGTGTGATGTTCTTGATGTCATCCCACAATTCATCTGGTTTTTGGTCATTGGTGTTCAGTGCATCAGATTTATTCCTCAGATGATCTCTAAATTCAGGTGGGATATAATCAAGGTCATATTTTGGTTCTTGTAGTCTTGTTTTAATTGTCTTCTGCTTGAACTTGAACTGCACATGTGCTCATGGTCTTTTCCACAGTCAGTTCCTGTCCTTATTTTGGCTGAAGATACTGTACTTCTCCATCATCTCTTTCCACAGGTGTAGTTGATCTGATTCTTGTGTATTCCATCTGGCAAAGTCCATGTATAAAGCTCTGGTTTATGTTGTTGAAAAAGGTGTTTGCAATGAATAAGTCATTGGTCTTGGCAAAATTCTGTCATGCAATCTCCAGTGTCATTTCTGTCACCAACACCATATTTTCCAACTACTGGTGATTCTTCTTTTTCCAACTTTTGCATTCCAATCACGAGTGATAATCAATACATGTTGATTGCACATTTAGGTAATTTCAGACTGCTGAAGTTGATGAAAGTCTTCAATTTCCTCATCTTTGGTGATTGGTGTATAAATTTGAATAATCGTAGTATTAACTGGTCTTCCTTGTAGGCATATGGATATTGTTCTATCACTGACAGCGTTGTACTTCAGGGTAGATCTTGAAACATTCTTTGTGACAATGAATGCCACGCCATTCCTCTTCAGTTTGTCATTCCCAGCTTAGTAGATCATATGGTTGTCTGATTCAGAATGGCCAGAACCAGCCCATTTCAGCTCACTAATGCCTAGGATATGGAACTTTGTGTGTTCCATTTCATTTTGGACAACTTCCAATTTTCCTAGATTCATACTTCATACATTCCATCTTCCTATTATTAATGGATGTTTGCAGCTGTTCCTTCCCATTTGGAGTTGTGCCCTGTCAGCACATGGAGGTCCTGAAAGCTTTGCTCCATCCACATCATTAAGGTCGACTCTACTTTAAGGAGCAGGTCTTCCCCAGTCGCATTTTGAGTGTCTTCTGACCTGAGGGGTTCATCTTCTGGCACTATACTGGACAGTGTTTGAGGGCTATTCATAAAGTTTTTCAGTAATATATCAAAGAGTGTTTCACTGCTATTCATAAGGTTTTCACTGGCCAATTCTTTGAGAAGTGGGTGGCCCCTTCCTTCTTCTGAGTCTGTCTTAGTCTGGAAGCTCTGCTGAAACTTGTCCACCATCGGTGACACTGCTGGCATTTGAAATACCAGTGGCATAGCTGCTAGCCTCACAGCAACACACAGGCCACCACAGTATGACAAACTGACAGATGAGTGAGTGGTGGCAGGCCGTGTAGCTTCTGAGTTTAGGAATGGGGCAGAGTGCTTTGGAATGCTTGTACGTCACCTCAGTCCTAGGCCATCTGTAAGGAGCCCTGGTGGTGCAGTGGTTAAGTGTTCACATGCTAACTGAAAGGTTGGCAGCTTGAACTCACCTAGTGGTACCTTGGAAGGTATGGTGATCTTTCATTTTACCAATGAAAAAACTGAGCTGTTGGGGGGCTGTTGTTTGCCCAAGAACCCACACCTGAGGAAACTCAACCTGTGTGATGCAGAGTCTGTGTTTTTAACTGCTGGGCTGGATTTCTGCCTCTCATAAAGCCTATTCATTCTGGTCTCTAACATTCGTTCATTGTTTTCTTCATTCAGTGAATGTTTACCAGGTACTCGAAGTATGTGATGCACTATTCTAGGCAC